GGGGGGGGCCCTCCGCCATTTGCCCCCTTTACCCCTCCCGGGATGGCGGCGCGCGGGCTGGGGAGGCGGGAGCGCGGCCGTAACGCTGGAGGGTGACGCGGGGCCTGGATAAGCCCCTGTGTTTTATTTATTTAATTTATTTAACGTGCTGTCAGGGTGGGGGCGTATTTGGTTAAAGAGAGGAATGCAAAGGGGGTCCCCGCGCTGCTCGAGGAGTTTAGAGGGGAGTAGGATGCGTGCAACTGCCCTCCCTGACACGGTGTCGCTTTGTCGTGCGCGGCCTTCCCAGCAGGCCTGGGATAAAGACATCAAATTTCCAAAAGGAGATGTGAAAACAAAGGAAGCTAAAAGGCAACATGTGTTTACCACGAATGATTTGTGTTTTTGTGTTAGTTTACCTCATGATTGCCTTTGATAAAATAATTGCCCTTTTCAGAGGAAATTAAGTAGGGTGTGTTTGTTTTTTGTAGATAGCAGTAAAGATTTTAAGCGGATGCAGCAAGGGGATTGTTACTGTGCTGAGAAGGTAGGGCTTATTACCAGGATTGTAGAGTGGAGCAGGAAGCACCGGGAGACAAGCTGCGGTGAGTAAGGTTGGGAAGAGAACCACCAAATCCCAGTCTAAAGGGATGTTATGGAATGAGTTCTTGGAAGGTCTGCCTTGGGACTAGCCTTGTTACATATTTAGTGAGCCAGCAGGGTTCCAGTGGACCCAGGGAAGGGCTTTTGTGGCCGTCAGGGCGGTTGTGGAGGCAGATGGTGTTGGCAGCCTCAAAAAGTACTTAGACAAACCTATAGATAAGAAGCCTGTGAGGGACAACCAGGCAGGGAGGTACCGAGTGCTGCAGCTGTGGAGCCATAGGGGAACGGGCTGCAGAACAGCCAGGCCCATGGGCCTCCCCCAGAGCAGCATCTCTGGCTGCCAGTGCTGAAACCAGTGCTCAGAGCATTGGTTTGAGCCATGAGATCGGGGGATTTTTCTTTTTTTACTGCTGTTCAGACTTCTCAGTGGAGGAATGTTACTGGAGAAGTTCTGCAGGATCCTGCTGTGGATCCTGGGCTGTTGGTGTTTCCATAAGCATCTCAGAAAAGTTGCTAAGTAGCAAGGTGATGAAGTTTGCTGATGACATGGTGATTTAAGGGAGTAAAGAAAAGGGTCAGCTGAAAAATTGCAAGTGACCCTGTAAGACAAAATAACTGGGCAATATAATGGTAGGTGAAATTCTGTGTAGGTGCATAATGTGCTTCAGATAGGGTAAAAAGAAACCTGATTTCACATATTAGTGTGCTTCCACTAATGAGCAATGTTTTGGAATTACAATATATGATTTCATAAAAATATAACTCGAGTGGTAATGAGTGACCAAAATGGTAAATCAAATAATAATATTTGATAGAGATACAAATAGAGAATGAGTCGGAGGATGCTGTCATGCCACTGTATTAGTCCAATGGTTCACCTGAAATACTGCGTGTAGTTTTGTTCCCTCCCCTTCCATCTCAGGAAGCATATCATAAAAATGGGTGAGAGTCAGAAGATAACAAGAATGATCAAAGATACGAAATCACTCACCATAGAAGGAGGACTGAGAAAGCTAGGACTTGCACTCTGGAAAAGCCTGAGGAGGGTATGATGAAGGCCTGTAAAATCACATTTGGCATGAAAATAATGGCTAGGGGTCTCCAGTATAAGCACTGCGGAAATGAAACTAGCAAGGCCTTAATTCAACCATGAAAACAAGTAGTTCATCGTAAGTAATTGGATTGGAGGTTCTTCATAAGTAATTGCATTGGAGGACTTGCCAGAGGATATCATGGATATTAAAAATCTCCATGACTTGGAGAGGGAGAGCAGACAGGTTCATAGGGGAGATCCACTGAGCTATTCTGAACACGCAGGAACTACATCCATCTGAGGGAGGAATATAGTGATTGGGAAAGGCAGCAGCATATATTCGCTGAGTTCTGCTTTTTTTTTTTTTTTTTTTACCCTCCATTGCTTTTGGCCACTGTTCGAAATGGGATGTAGGCTTACGTGGGCATGTGCTATGGCCTGCTACAACTATTTTTATGTTACCCTCTTGTTTACCATAGTAATAATTGACTCAACTTGCTTTTGTACTGTTTCTGGTCATGCTTTCTTTAATAGAGCTGAGAATCATCTGTTAAAGCTTTTATGAGAAAGATATGTTACTGTTGTTTGTTTGGGCACTAGATAACTTAGTAGTAATTTATCTAATGGTGCAGCTTTTCTCTATGTAAGTGATGTCTTTTGTTTCCAGGCTCACAAGGATCTAATTATCGTTGATTAACATGACTTGAGCTGCCTCTCTCTCTCAGATTCTATAGTTACAATTTCAAATCTGTTTCACCTTTTTTCCAACCCTTTCCCAAGCATCTTCCTTTACACTGTTGATCAATTCCAGTTTCCATGAGGATCAGGAGCCTGAAAACCTCATCCCTGCTTCTCTATGCATGTGTGCATGAACACACTCACATGCTGTTTATATGTATAACACATATGCATTAATACATAAATACTCTAAAAACCGCAATATATATTAAAATATATCATAAATATATTTTAAAATAATGCATTGGCAAAAATCTTGCCAACCCTCTGTCTTTAGAAGTATGAATGGTTTAACTAGTAATAGCAGTATCAAATGTGAGTCATTGTAAAACTTCCTAAGAGGAATCACAGAATCACAGAACAGTTGAGGTTGGAAGGGACCTCTCATCTAGTCCAACCCCCCTCTCATCTAGTCCAACAGGGACACCCAGAGCACGTGGCACAGGGCAGCATCCAGGACGGTTCTGAAGATCTGCAGAGAAGGAGACTCCACAACCTCCCTGGTCAGAAAGAGCTTCCAGCATAGCTTCCCCAGCAGGAGGTGAGAGTGCCTGTTACGGTCCAGCATCTCAGCAGAAAAACAGTTCTGTTGAAGCTAGTAATCTCAATTTCCCTTGTACAGGATTTGGGGATTTAACTGAACTTCAGAGTAATAAGTGATCAAAATTTTCTACTGTATATTTTATTAGATATTATGAACAATTTGGAAAGTAGAGATGATTGAGAAAGAATGATGCTACTGTAAATAGATTAATTGTCATCAACTGAGGACTTAGCTTTGTGTTAAAATCATGCAGCAAAAACAGCATTTAAAGCACAGGATTGTCACACCCCCTTTGCCGAGTTGAAAACTTTTGTGACTGATTGCAGAGATAATATTAGCGAGTTTTTTCAGTGTTAAAAAGGCTGAATTGTTCTTTTGAGAACAGTTTGAGACAGAATTTTCTGTATGTGAACTTGGTTTAAGCTAATGGTAGAGTTGTTTTCTTGAACTTCCTTAATTTGCTGAGCCATAAGGATGAAGTTAACAAGATACCTATGTTTTGTTTTCACTTTTCAAAAACCAGTACTTGCAGAAGCCGTGAAGTTCTCGCATGTTTTGCTACAGAAGTCATAAGCTGCAGAGAAGCAGTGCAAGTAGATGCAGACCTGAGGTGTTTCTGGAGAGATGTAGAATAACAGGGTGCCTATTCAGAGTGACTCCAGAGCTTCTGTAGAGAAGAAAAGGCAAAACTTCTTCAAGCTGCCAGCATTTAGAAGGTGCAGCTTTAAGTTTATTAATTGCCTTTCAGGCAGGAAGGAAAGGAAGGATGTACCATCCTGTTAGATAACCCAGCTCCTTCGTTAGTACCTCCTTCCGCCCTCCTCATAGAGCCATATCGTTTGCCTTTCTGATTTATTCCTGCTAGTAGTTCCTAAATACTGGGTATCTAGAAATGTCTGAGATTTGGGTTTTGGAACACAAAGCATATCATAACACCTGGCACTAATAAGTAGCCTTTAGTTTTTAATATACCTGATCTCTTTGGGATCAAATATATGATACTTATTTTTACTGCAGTCACTTTGGCACCACTCGTGATGTAAAAAAAAAAATCAGAAAAACAAAACTGTTTTCTCAGTTTTAATAAAACTTTTATCTTCTACAAATCAAATGCAGTCTGGTAGCCATTGCTGGTCAAAGATGTGAAAAAGATGAGTCTTTTCCTCTAAACTACCAAAGTTTTCCTAGACTGCTGATATACCCCTTTCAGTTTATACTACAGGTTTGCCTATGTTGAGAAAATTGTTGAGCCTAGCATGGTGAAGTATTTCTTTTATATATATATATATCAATATTTATTAAATAAAAATGAAACCTTAGAGTTGTACCACCTCATCTTACCATGTTATGTACATAATACGATAAAAGTATTTGTAATTATGCTTGATAGGGACTTAGAGCATCTGAAAGAAGCAATTACTCTGGTTAACTATTTAGCTTTGATAAACTGGTTACATGACTGACTGACTGACTATATAAACCTGAGAATCAGAGCAGAAGTATCTATATCCTGCTGGCACAGTAAGAGCTGTGGACCTGACAGTGTTAGCTGTCTTATCTTCAGTATTATTTGGTAGCATATACTAATAATTTTGATGAACAAGCAGAGCAATATATTATTTATATTTTAAAAGCAAAGTGGGACAATTGGTTTTATATAAACAGTATAGAAAATTAGGAGAGCTCTGATCTTTAAGTTGGCCTGTGTTTGTGAGAAATTAAACTGGATGTAATGTGTGCATTACAAGGTCATGTATGACTAGCAGGTTTGACTTAAAAGGATATAAGCTAATATACACATGATAAGAAAATAAGACAATATGGACTGTATATTAATTGCCAATTTGTGGCTGGCTTTTGGTTCTTAGTCTGCTTTATTTCTGTAATAAAGGTCAGTAAGCTCTGACTTCGGAGGACTTTTGCAGGGAGGCAGAAAGTTTCTCCATATTAGTAAACTTGCCATCCTCAGAATACTAGTTGTCTGCGTAAGAAATTTTTGTTTGCTTGTCTTCTAATATATACTTGTCAAAAATATACTTTTTAAAGGAATTACCTTTATCCTCAGAGCTGATGCCACATACCAAAGTGCTCATTGCACTAGCATCAGCTCAGAGCTTACACAGAATTGCTGTCTACACAGCAAGGGAATTCTCGATTTCAGAATTCTTACACCAAGGGATGTAAAATCTTGTTTCAAGTCTTGCATCATTTCCTTCCCAGGAGAACAAAAAGTGCTACCAAAAGGGCTTAGACAGAGGGATGTGAGTGGGGCCTGGGATTAAAACCCCACTTTGGACTTGAGGGGAAGAGCAATTTTGTCTGGCCACGGCGTGGCGCTGCCCATCGATTTCAGAATTCTTGCACCAAGGGATGTAAAATCTTGTTTCAAGTCTTGCATCATTTCCTTCCCAGGAGAACAAAAAGTGCTACCAAAAGGGCTTAGACAGAGGGATGTGAGTGGGGCCTGGGATTAAAACCCCACTTTGGACTTGAGGGGAAGAGCAATTTTGTCTGGCCACGGCGTGGCGCTGCCCATCCAGAAATGGAGAGCCCGGCTCAAGGCTGCCCTGCGCTGGGGATTCCTTGTGCAGTTTCAGCTTGGCCCCTTTTCCAGAGGGCTCTTCCAAGGCCTGCAGCAAGCTTGAACACAAACACTTCAGTAGATGTGGAACTAATGCTTGTCGGCATCCTGCAAGTTCCCCGCAAAAGTGAGGAAGGAATTTGAGTGAACACTTCTGAAGAATATGTGTGACTTGGTGGCCTTCTGTAAAAGCAGGTGTAGTCAACCTGATAGCAATGACTAGGGAAGCACTGAAGTGAAATCCTTCAGGACCTTACTTCTGATTTACTGATTTTCATGAGGTACATATTGGAAATTAAAGTTATAGATAATCCAAAGAAACCTCAAGGCTATACATTTCTCCTTGAATTCTGTTTTGTAAAAGATAAAGAAATAGGCAAGATTCAAAAATATTTAAACGTATACTTGATAAAGTACATTGAAATAGGTGATGCAACAGCATTGCCTGTTAAGTGTAGTAAGCGTAAAATGTCTGTGAATAAAATGTCTGTTCTGCTAAAAAAAAAATAATAATAAGTCCTATATCAGGGCAAAGTTGGCAACCCTCTTTACCCTATCTCTTTCCTTATTCGGTGTACGTATATACACAATGCAGTTAATATTTTGTCTGGGCAAGGGCTGTGCAGACCTGGATTGGCACTGGAGATTCTTTTTTTGCTGTGCAAAGCATTCTGTTACCTAGAACTATTACCTACTGACCTGTAAAAGAAGATCAATAATTGTAATTTTTTTTCCTAAAGCATTTTGCAGTCTACAAGTGCAAAGTACTAGGTATATGTAGTGCAGCAAAGTTTCTATTTGCAGTATGGTCCTGACATCAAGGGAATACCCCTGTGTATCTTGCATGTACATTTTTAATACTGCAGGAGGAGATGGGGCAGATTAAGCAAACGGCCCAAGTGGTGGTGCTTTTGCATTGCCTCCTACCCACATGTCCTTCCAGAGACATGAAAAGAGAGGCAGGTCAACAGAACCTGCTATGATACCTTGTCCCCAGGCACTATCAGAAAAAATAATGAAGTTAGAAGGATAAAAATGCTACAAAACTGCTAGATTCAAAAGACCTGTCGTGGTGTACTGATGGTGAGATGCTGCTCGTTATAACCAGGACATCGTTAGTGGAGCAGCAAATTCTGTTTCCGTTGGAAGGAGGAGGTAAAGGGTTTTATTAGAAGATTGAGAGCTCTCCTGGAAATAGATGTAGGTAATAGTAGTCTTTCCCTCAAGAATGACAACTGATCATATTATTTTCAAAGTAAATATAACATTCACTTAAAAGACTTCTGTAAGTTTCACATAAAAACAAATATACATATGAAAACTTAACAAGGAATTTCTCCCTCTGTGTAGGAAGGGAAAGGGACTGTTTGGTGCATACATACTCCAGCCTCTGATCAGCATTCGGAGGATACACAAACAAGGAAATTTTTTTTTCTTATGATTAAATTACCTTTTTCCCCCCCTTATTTTTTACCTTGTACATCCAAACAGAGCTTATTCTTGCATAGTATGAGAGTGCATTCCCGTTCAAGCAGCAACCTTGCCTTCAGAGTTCACGGCCTTACAGCTCAACCAGAATACCTGAGCTCAAATGTTTTTTCATCCATGTAAGAACGGAATAGGAAAAACTCTGCAAGGCATTGCCACTGAAGTGCTCTTCAGTGGAGTGTGTTGCAGAAAGGAGGAGCTGTTTGCATTGAGGGAGTTGGCAAACGAGTGTTTTATGTGTCAAGCCCGTTGTGTGTTTGCTGTGGGTGGGGGGACGCTGCTTTTTGTAGGTTTTGTTTTAGTGGCCGTTTCTGGTTAGTCTCCATTTCTCTAGGGATACTCCTGAGTCCTACTGGCAAGTAGGATGTAGATGGCAGAGGTCTGATACTGTGGGGAAGTCTCAGCTACCCTGTGATCTAATATTGTTCTGCTGATTTGAGCTGCTACTTTAATGCAATGACAATTGCTCTAATTTGGGGTAGGGGAGGAACCCTTGGAAATCCTGGAGTCTTACAGGACTGATAAATCATGGAGCAGGGGTTGGGTGATTAATTGCAACTTGTAGCGCTTAATGTTTCTGTGGTGACTGTGAGAGAATCTGGTCCCATGAGTGATTCTCTCAAGCATTTCATTCATGTATTTCTTTTTCTGGAGCTGTTTGAGAGCTATTTAACATGCTGAGCTGCGCGTAGAGGAAAGAATACATTTCCTGAAAGTAAAACCATCCAGTGTGAGCTTAAGGGCAGTTTAAGATTTGAAAGAATGTTAGTTTAGCTCCATGACCTGAATTATTCAAGATAGCTCCTTCCTTCTGAGACTGTTCTCAGAATATTCTGTTAGATTTTTTTCTTCCTATATATATTATTGAAAAATTGTCTTTCAGCATAATTTCTGAAAATAATAAGCATCATGATAAAAGTGATCAAGCTATATCCATATTGTATACGTTTAGAAAAAATATATTCTAATATTTCTTTTTAATGGGAATTCTGCTTGCTTGGGAGGGCATCTTTCAATTGCTTTTCCCCAGAAGTAATTTCCCATCAGTGCCTAATTATTAAAACTTCGTTTGCAGAAATATAATTTTAAAAATGCATTTTTCAACAGATAGGGACACTTTTTTTAGAAGCAGTCATCTACTGAATGAAGTTGGATGATTTCTTTATATTAACTCCAACAGTAGTAATTTCTAGGCATATTCAGAGTTCTCATGTTACAGTATTTTTTTTTTTTTTGGCTTTGTACTAACTGCTGTAAATTCACTTATTTTAATCGTGTCTCTGACATTAGCACCTAATGGTCACTATCCCAGCTTTTGGTTACATATAGAGTTGCTATGTGAATTAATTACCTTTCAGAAAATGCTTAAAGGGAATGACTAATACTTTGTATTTTTTTCTTTTCTAATTTACTTAATAAATTGTTAGTCATTACAGCAATAGCCTTTCTGACACAGTGTGGGTACCAATGTAACCATATTTTGTTTATTTAAAAATATCCAATTAACTATTTTTTCTGAGTTTTTGTTCAGTAGGATTTTTTTGCTAAATTAATTTGAAGGAAAAACTATTATTTGGGAGCTGGTGTTTTAAAGATTGTTTATTCACCTTTGTATACAGCTCATATCTCACATAGGGTAGGTAGTCCATATGTAAAATGGAATTATGTTTGTATATTTGTAGAAAAGTCTTTTTAATTTATAAAAATAAACCAGATGGCTCTTTGTGTGTGTGAATGGAAAAATGAATTTTTTAGTTCA